GGAACCGGTTCCTGAGTTGAAAAAGTCAGTTTCTTCGCAAATTTACACTGGGAACTCGGTTCCTCCCCACTGGGAACCGGTTCCTGCGACCTGAAAAGTCAAAAACTGCTATTTTGACAGCACTTATTCATTCCAAATCCCATCCAATTCATACCCATACGAATCCAACTCACAGAATTTCCAAAACAAGTTATAGTACATGATTCTAATGAGATTACAACACACCATAACATCATACAATTTCCTCATAACCTCAAATTGAATCAAAACATAATTTCATGAGATTGGGGTTTGAATTTCATAAATCCTAAATTGGGATTCCTAACATGCCTAATCAATTCTATTGATCCCAAAATCTATAAGGCATAGTAATTAATCGAAATCACCCCTTACCTCGCGATGATCCTTCGAATTCACGGCGTTTGGCTTTTTCCTCTCTTCTCTTCTCTTCTCCAATTTCACGTACACTGAGTTTTTCCAAAACCCTTCTTTTCCTTTTCCTTTTTATTCTTCTTTTTCTTTTCCTTTTATTATTTGCCAAATAATAATAATAATTAGTAATTATTTTAATAGAGCTTTTTACTACACACACCTCTAATCCAACTTTACACCCCCGGTCTTCCTTTTTAATTCCATAGTTAATTCATTCATTTAATCCAAAATATTATAAATTAAGCCTTTAATTAATTTAATAATTAAATTCCTAATTATTTAACAATTGAATTAAATTGGGGTGTCACACTTTGTACTTATCAATCTTTCCTTCTTCATTCAATTTGATTTTGTAAATCCATTTCACTCCAATTTTCTTAGCTTTTGTTGGTAGATTCACTAAATCCCATGTTTTATTCTTCTCGATGGCATCTATTTCACGTTTCATGGCTTATATCCATTTTATATTATTCATAGCTTCTTTATAATTTGTGAGATCATCATTTGACATGAATAAAACCATTCCGACCTCTTGTTCTTCTTCAGAGAGACCCTCACCACTTTCATAATCTTGCAGCCTACCTCTTCTCTCTCTTATTGGTCGTTCCTTATGTTGTTGCTCTTCATGTTGTTGTCCCACATTTTGTAGTGTACGCTCATGGTTTCTGGAATTACTCACCTCTGTTTCTATTTCTGATTCTTCATCAGAATCCTCCACGTCACTACCATCGTTACCCCAATCAAGAGTAATTTCTTTTTCTTCTTCTGAATTTAGGTTCCAATTCCATCTTTCTCCTTCTTCAAATATGACATCTCTGCTTAATGTTATTTTCTTTAATATTGGATCATACAATCAGTAAGCCTTTGATTCATCACTCACACCAATTAGGATACATTTATGACTTCTATCGTCAAGTTTAGTTCTCTTCTGCTCATGTATATGCACATGTGCAATGGATCTGAACATCCTAAAATAGTCAACTCTAGGTTTCAGTCCACTCCATCATTTTTCTGGTACCATTTCCTTTACTTCTTTGGTAAGGCTTCTGTTAATCACATGATTTGTCCACTTTGCAGCTTCTGCCCATAAGGTCTTTGGCATCTCTTTCTCCGTAAGTAAGCAGCGCACCATATTTCATAATTGTTCAATTTCTTCGTTCGGCTACCCCATTTTATTGTGGTGTGAAAGCGGCTGTTAATTTCCGTTTAATTCCATTCTCTAGGCAGAACTGGTTGAACTCGTTTGAGGTGAATTCTCCTCCCCTTCCTGTTTGTAAACAACATATATGTTTCTGAGCTTCTTTCTCAATCAGATTCTTGAAGAATTTGAATGTCTCAAATGTTTCACCTTTTTCCACAAGAAAAAAATCCAAGTTTTACGAGAGTAGTCATCTACGAACACAAGCAAATATCTCTTACCACTATGAGAGATTGGAGTGATTGGACCACACAGATTTGTATGCACCAATTCAAGTTTTTCTGATGCTTTCCAATTAATTTTCTTTGGTATTTTGTCTCGGTGTTACTTGCCAATATTACACACTTCACAAACCTCTGCAGTTTCCTTGAACTTTGGTAGGCCCTTTACCATTTATTTCTTCTGCATATCAACAATAAAATTATGATTTACATGCCCGTACCTTCTATGAGATAGATTCTTCAAGTTCTCCTCCCCAACCTTTAAGAATTTTTGTAGAAGCGGTTTTAATGTAGCATGAAGTACAAACATATGATTCAGAGTCATGTTGCTGTCTATAATTTTTACTCTTTGAGGATGATAAATTTTGCATGCACTTTATTTTATAATTATTACCAAGCGTTTTTCTTGAAGTTGTCCTATACTCAACAAATTATTGATTAAGTCAGGTACAAAGTAAACATCACTCACAGTTAAAATGATTCCATCCACTTCAAATATGACACTTCCTTTTCCCATCACAGATATTCTTGAATTGTTTCCCAATCTAACAGTACAACTAAAATTTTCATCTAGTTCTACAAACCATTTTTTATTTCCTGTCATGTGATTTAAGCAACCAGAATCAAGAAACCATACCCCTTTGTCTTTAATATCATGAACTTCGGCATGAGCCATTAGGAGTAACTCCTCTTCCTCGTCAAACTCAGCATAGTTTGATTCTTTTTCTAAACTTGGATATTCATATTGGCAGTGTCCTTGTTTTTTACATCGATAGCATATAATAGCCCTCCTGTTTACAAATGGTTTTGCTCTCCCCCGTCCCCTAACATAGCTGCTACCTCCTCTTTGAAAATTTCTTCTTCCTCTCCCACGTCCATAACACGTGTCATACTCAACTTGCAAAACTTGTTCTTCACTCAGTTTCTCTCTTACCTTTTATTCATGAACAAGCAGTGAACTTTGCAGCTCATTCACAGTTAGGAGATCAATGTCTTTAGACTCTTCAATTGAGCATACCACAAAGTTGAAGTTTTCTGTCAAAGATCTAAGTATCTTCTCAACTATTTTCACATCGTTCATATTCTCTCCGCAATTACTCATGTCATTTGCTATTTCCATCACTCTTCCATAATAATCATTCACTGATTCACATGTCTTCATCTATAAGGTTTCGAATGTCCGTCGAAGCCTTTGCAGTTGCGCACGTTTTACTCTAGTGCTTTCTTTGTATTTGGATTTCATGGATTCTCACAGTTGTTTAGCTGTTTCTTTATGGGTAATAGTTTTTAAGATGGATTTGTCAATGACCTGAAATAAATAGTTCTTTGCTTTCATATCTTTGAGTTTTTCTTTATCCAATGCCTTTTGTTGTGCCGCAGTTATCTCTTCATTCTCCTTTGATTCCTATATTCCAGATTCAATAACACTCCAGTACTCCTTGGATCAAAGTAAATTCTCCATGATCAAACTCTAATGATCATAGTCTCTATCAAACTTAGGCACACTTGGTGCGTTGAAATTGCTCGATTCAGCCATTTCACGTCTTTCAGTCACTCTAGTGTTTTTCCTCTCAAACGCTCTTGTTTACACACTATATTAGGTCCCGTGATGGAGCTCTGAATACCAAATGAAGTAGTAATAACTTTAGTAATATTAATAAGTGTGATAATTTTTTGTTATTACAAAATGAAATACAATAGCTTTATATAAACCTTACAGTTTCAATACAAATCTCAGATAATAATAATAATAAAGAATAAAATTATAATAACCAATAAAACTTATTCAACTTATCCTCTATTATTAAACATAATTAATTTATCATTTCTATTTATAGTAAAGACTAATTATTAGTAAATATGTCAACAAGATACCCATGTTATATATAGTAGTATAAGAGGAACAATAATATATAGTACTACAAGAGAAACAAAACCACATGTTGATTTCAAGACTTGATGTCCTATAGTTTTTCTATAAATACTAGACTTGGTTTGAGGAATTTAGTTAGAAAAAAAATAGAAAAATATATAATCATCCCTGATACCTATTTACTTTGTTTTGAGTTGATAACGCCACAAAATTGTGATATGTATATATACACATTATAACAAAACTTTCACAATAGTCCAGTGCAAACCAACACACGCTTCAAGTACCGGGTTTTATACTTGGCCACCTCTCATATTTTAGTTGAATTTTTTATAATAAAATCATTAAAAACTGAAAGAGTATAATATTAATGAAACGCCACTTGTATAAATAGATTTATAAAAAATAATATACACTGATCACGTATACAGAAAATACAATCAGCATTATCATGTAAGATTATTTTAAAGATTCTGAACAAAAATATGATCCAGAATCTCTATTGATAGAATCTGAAAGAATTAAAGAATTAATTATAATTTTTTTAAGGAGAAATAAATTGAAACACACGGGGAAATATAAAATATTTAATCCAAAAAATTATACTCATTTGTTATCAACCACAAATATGCGATAGTGTCTTTGAAATATCCAAAAAAAAAAATTATAGAGCGTTTGAAAAATTTCAAAATTATACAATAATATTTGTTAAAAGAAAATATACACAGCTATTAATATGGTAAAAGTATAAAAAGTGTAGGGTGCCAGTACAATTTGGGAGGATGAAAGATTCCTTGAATTCAAGATATGGACTCAACGTGGGGTTTAACAAGTCTTGTTTTTTTTTTTCTATTAAGCTTAATAAAAATTTAATTTTGTTCAACTCTTTTTTTATTTAGTTTAATTCAATTTATTGATCACGATGCTTGAATAATTAATTATTCCGTACAAAAAGATATGCTTTAATTTTTATATATATTTTTTAATCGACCCATTAAGTGTTATTTAATTTATAAACAATTTACTATCTATTTTTATAAAGAAAATAAGAAATGTAAACTATTATTTAATGAATGACGTACAACCTAATGTCATATTGATAATTTAAAAAAATTTAAATAATTTAATAGATTTATGTTTTTTATTAGTCTATCGTGTAAAATTTTCTTACATCTTACACTAATGGTGTATATCTATTAAACTCATTTATATAACCTAAATATTTCTTAAACTTTCACACACATAAGCTCCAGTCCACTATTTAAGGGCCTAAGCTATGCCAGATACAAAATATAGAGTCATGGCAATAAATCTTCTGCTTCTTCTTCTTTCTGGAACCGTTGTAATTGTTAGCTGTGTGTCTATAAGAACAGAAGCTACAATATTGTTAACCAATAATGATATAACTAAGTCTCTCAATCGGAGTAGTTTTCCAGAAAGTTTTATTTTTGGAACAGCTTCATCAGCTTACCAGGTACTTGAAAAAATACATCAATTTTTTATTTGTCTATTTCTAATATTAATGACTAATTTTATGGAGAATTTTTAGGTTGAAGGTGCAGCAAATGTCGGTGGAAGAGGACCAAGTATATGGGATACTTTCACACATAATAATCCAGGTTTGTATTTTGAAAATGCATAATATTTAATTTATAAGCTTAAACTCTTGTTTTCAACGCCATTAAGATAAGCCTACACAGTTTTATTTGATAACTCTTACAAGTGCTTAGTTTTTTAATAATAAAATTGGTATATTTGTAAACTGGTTTGATGCATGATAACAAGATAATGTTGTTGTTTCATCCTATAATAATTGTAAGTGGTCGGGTGTTGATAAAATAAAAAATGCTGTCGGTGTGTGGACATTTGGTAACAGCTGGCATCAATTGATATGAAAGCTTGTAACTAGAGTCCAAAATACACGTGGCCAATTTTCATTAGTGGAGTACATTTTACACTGATTATGCTTTTCACAAACTAATCGATTTTTTATTTTATTTTATATAATTGAATACCTAAATCAATACAGATATAAAAAAAAACATATGGCTATCCTTATAAGAAGGACCTTCGACTCATCGTCTATATAAACCGTAACAAGTTTAGCCTTAATTTGTATGTCCCTACAAAACGTCTCATATCTTCCATAGTAGATCTTCATATTTTTCAACCTCTTTGAGTATTACAAAACCGAACCTTTACTCTCTTATATCCCCTTTTTAAGGTATTAAAACCTCCTCCATTCTCTCTTAGTTAAAAAAATATAAAATTATATCAGCCGTGCTTTAAATTATTTTTTTATAATAGTTTAAGTTTTTTATTTAATAATTTGGGGATTTAAATTATGTGCACCATTATCTTTTTTTGATAGAGTTAATGTACTAAATATGAAAACAATAATTTTGAGTGGTATGTAAATACTTTTTGAAGAAGTGCAATTGAAAATACAACAGTTATGTTAGAAGTATAATTTTTATTCTGTCAAAATGCAATGTGTGGTGTATGTCGAATAGCTTTTGTATAGGTTATAAATTATATTTGACAAAGTCGAATACAATAGATATTGTAGTATGTCGAAATCATGTTTTGAGTTTTAACATGTTTTGTCTAATTGGGTGTTAAAGTTATTTCCATGGAAGTCATAGATGAATCTTTGAAGAAGAAGAAGAAAGTGTAACAGAAATGTAACAGAAAAATATAACAGAAAAGGAATAGGAAAAGATAAGATTGATCTCAGAATTGGATTCTATTATTTCATTTTTGGATAAAAGTATAAGTGGTAATACAATGGATATATATACACTATTAGATCTAATAACATCCCTTAGATCTAATTAAACTAAAACCACTAATACTTCAACAGCCTCCCTCAAGCTGAGCATTGTAAATGTCAATCATGCTCAGTTTGGATATGAAAGAATTGAACTTTGGAGCAGCCAAAGCTTTTGTTAAGAAGTCTGCCAATTATTCTTGTGAAGAAATAGGTAAGAGTCTAAGAACACCTTGCTGTACTTTTTCTCTAACCAAATGACAGTCAATGTCTAAATGCTTGGTCCTCTCATGAAAAACCGGATTAGAGGCAATATGAATTGCACTCTGACTGTCACAGTAAAGCACTGGTTGTCGTGTAGGTGTGATTTGCAAATCTCTGAACAAGTGAAGTAACCACTGCAGTTCACAAGTTGCTGTTGAGAGGGCTCTATATTCAGCTTCAGATGAAGATCTGGAAACCGTCTGCTGTTTCTTGGCGCGCCATGAAATTAATGAGGAACCAAGAAAGAAACAATAACCAGAAATGGACTTGCGAGAATCTATGCACCCTGCCCAGTCAGAGTCAGAATATCCCAGAAGTTGTACTTCAGAATCACGAGGAAATAATAGTCCTCTTCCAGGATTATGCTTAAGGTACCTGATTACACGGCATGCTGCATTAAAATGAGTTATAGTGGGAGCATGTAAGAACTGACTTAATTGTTGAGTAGCAAATGTAATATCCGGCCTTGTTGTGTTAAGATACAACAATCTACCAATAAGTCTCCTGTATGTAGCTACATCCTCAAAGGGCTTGCCATTATCTTGATGTAATTTTATTGAAGGGTCAAGAGGGGTTGCTGCAGGTTTTGATCCTAATAAGCCAGAGTCATTAAGAAGATCCAGGCAGTATTTTCTTTGAGAAATAGCTATCCCTGATTTAGAATGTGCCACTTCTATACCCAGAAAATATTTGAGAACTCCTAGATCTTTAATCTTGAAATGACTGTCAAGTGTATTTTTGATCCTTTGGAACTCACTAAGAGAAGTACCAGCCAGGATGATATCATCCACATAAACCAAAAGAGCTGTGAAATCAGTTGCAGTTCTTAATGTAAAAAGAGAATAATCAGCTGTAGACTGTGTGTAGCCTTCCTGGACCAAAAGTGAGGTCAACTTCTCATACCACTTTCTGCTTGATTGTCTAAGACCATAGATGCTCTTAAGTAACTTGCAAACCTGATTAGGTTTGGTACAAGTAACTCCATCAGGTATAGTCATATAGACATCCTCTTGCAAATCTCCATGTAAAAATGCATTGTTGACATCTAACTGGTGTAGGTTCCAATTATAAGCAGATGCCAATGCAAGTAACATTCTGACAGTGGTAAGCTTAGCTACAGGACTAAAACAATCAAAGAAATCAAGGCCCTCAATCTGATTGTAACCTTTAGCTACTAATCGTGCCTTATACCTTTCTATGGAACCATCAGCTTTGTGTTTGATTTTGAAAACCCATCTATTGCCTATAGGCTTGACATGAGGAGGAGTATCAACTATAATCCAGGTGCCAAGCTTTTCAAGAGCATTCAGTTCAGATTTGATAGCAGATAACCAATGTTCAGATAAACTAGCTTCTTTATAAGTTTTAGGTTCAACATTATGGGTGAGTGAAACAGAAAAGGCATGTTGAGAAGGAGATAAATGTGAATAAGAATGGAAATGAGTGATAGGATATAGAGTACCTGAGGATGTTGGTTCTTTTGAATCATGAGCAGCATTGCATACATAATCTGCTAAGTAAGAAGGGGTTTGTTTTTGTCTGATGGGTTTGGAATATTGATTTGTCTGCTGGTTAGAAGGATGTACAGTGGGGGAAGGGCAGGATAAAGGTTCATGAGTAGGTGTGATATGAGGGACAGGGCTAGGTATTTCAGTGCCAGTAGATACAAGAACAGGGCTAGGTAGTTCAGTTTCAGTAGATACAAGAACAGGGCTAGGTAGTTCAGTTTCAGCAGATACAAGAACAGGGCTAGGTGGTTCAGTTTCAGTAGATACAAGAACAGGGCTAGGTGGTTCAGTTTCATATGTGAAAAGTGGTGGTACAGATGTTGGTATATGTGATGGTGAATTAACTATGGGATATTCACATGAGTTATTAACAGGATAATGGTAATTCCAATTGGCAGACCTGGAATTTGGATTATATGGCAGGATAGTTTCATGATGTTTAGTGTGTCTAGAGACAAAAATTTCTTTATTATTAATATCATATAGAACACACCCTTTAACTCCAGGTTTGAATCCAAGAAAAATACAAGTTCTACCTCTTGGATCAAGTTTAGTTCTATGTGATTGAATTGTGGAAGTATACACAAGAGAGCCAAAAACTTTTAATACATGTAGGTCTGGTAATTTTTGGTGCATGATGAAATAGGGTGATTTATTGTTAAGAATAGGACTAACTACTCTATTCATGATAAAAACAGCATGGGACACAGCATAACACCAAAACTGTTTGGGTAAATTTGAATGAAACAAAAGGGCTCTTCCTATGTTAAGGATTTGTTGGTGCTTTCTCTCCACTCTTCCATTTTGTTGTGGAGATTCAACACAACTGGTTTGGTGTATAATTCCCTTTGAGGCATAGAATTGAGGCATGAGAAACTCTTGACCATTGTCAGTCCTAATGACTTTAACTTTAGTGTTGTGTTGTGTGTGAATCAAATTTACAAAGTTTATGATGTGCTACCTAGTTTCAGATTTAGATTTCATCAAAGTGAGCCAGGTATATCTACTGTGATCATCAACAGCAGTAAGAAAATAAGAGAAACCATGAACAGATTTGATTGAGAGAGGACCCCAAATATCAAAATGTATCAAATCAAAAAATGTGAACAGCTTTATTAGAACTTTTATGATAAGGTAAATTTTTATGTTTAGCTAAATGACATATATCACAAGTTCCTTTTGAATCAACAATAACAAAGGGAAATTCAGGTTGAAGTAAAAGCATTCTAGAATTAGAAAGATGGCTTAATCTGAAGTGCCACAAGGCTTGGTCAGGTATGGTAATGGCATGAGAAACAGAAATACCAGGTGAAATGGTAGGCTTCTTATTTTGCAGATTGAGATAATACAAGCCTTCAATGAATTCAGCTGAACCAATCATCTTCAGTGACTGAGGATCCTGAATCAAACATTGGGAATTAGTGAACTGAATAATACAAGGTAACTCAAGGCAAAGTTTTGATACTGAGATCAAGTTTAAAGAAAACTGAGGAACATACAAGACATTTCTGATAACAAATTGAGATGTAAGTCTAATGGTACCCATCTGATTAGCTATAGCAAAATTGCTATTAGGTAATCTTATGTTAATAGGTTTTATGTCTTGTAGAGATTCGAACCAATGAGTAAATCCACAAATGTGGTCACTTGCACCAGAATCTATAATCCAAGAACTCAGAATAGAACTATTCAAACATAAAGAAGTAGTTATGTTACCTGTATTGGCCACTGAATGTAATACTTTCACCTGATTCGATGTACTCGATTGTTGGCCTCTATGAGAGCTTTGGAGAATATTCATGAGCATTTGATATTGTTCATTGGTAAGTTGAGGTGAAGACTGAGCAACATCAGTAGAAATGTCTGTACTAGAAACATCAGTAGGTTGTTCCGTAGTCAGATTATGAGCATTGGAGTTAGAATTACGTTGCAAATGTGGTGGTACGCCATGTTTGCGATAACAAGTATCTATGGTATGACCTGACTTTCCACAGAAGGTACAAACTCGTTGCCCATGTTTCTTGAATGCAGGCTTTCTGCTATCAGCAGCATTGATCAATGCCTTTGGTTCATCATC